CACATAATATATGTATATATATATATATATATATATATTCACACATATACATATATATACTACTATATCTAAGGTGATAACTTTGTCTGAAAAACTACTAAAAAATAGTTCAGCATGATCTCTAAGCAAACTACAATATTTATGGTGTGCTTCCAATGCTTTTTATTTTATGTCTGTGTGTGTATAAATAAACGTGTTGTTTATCAGTAAGTGCTGGTGTTCCAGTGATGCATTGAGGATCAAAGAGCAGAACTCCCTCCGTTTATTGATTTTCTGATGGAAATAAAAATACATTCTCAGGAAAAACAACACGAGATGAGCTAGCGCCCACTCGGCGGCACATGAGAAATGATGTAATTTCCTGTACGGCTCCTTCATAGCCGTTTACAAAATCTAAATGTGGCCAAACACTCACAAAGCAACAATGTTAGCAATTAATAACACATGCACAAACAAACAGCAGCATATGAAACACTTTATGTACAATTTCGTATTAAAAGTGTTGGATTTATTATAATGGATAACCTTTATTTACTTTCATTAGACTACTAAACAACAAGTGACGATTAATTTCTCTCCCCGAAAGAGCGAGTCGGAGCCATAAAGCAAAAGGAACGGCCTAATTGAGTTCATTTTAATTTGGGTACGATCGGGAGACATTACTCCAGCGATTAATCAGGCCGACAGCACTCACCTCCAGAAGAAGGCCTAATTTGCAGCTAATTACAAAACTGATTTTCACTGCAAGATCAATACCAAAATGAATTGGAAATGACTCGCAATCACAAAGGCCGTCAAAGAGGGTATTAAAAAGGAGGGGAAAAAGACGAAGGAAACACGGAAAGCCTTTGAAGGAAAAAATGGGCGAACGGAATGCTCTAGAAAAATCAGTTTTAATTTAAAGCAATATTAATCAGACTATTTTCTCCTTTCATAGACCACTTTTCTTTTTTTGTGTCCTTCGCTATCCCTAAACCAGACCACCTTTCTATTTTTGTCTCTCTCTCTCTATATCGGGCTATTATTTAATGGCTCTGTTCCCAACCTAGTGAGCTGCCTTGCTGTCTACTGCCTGCTTAGGTAGCTGCCTTCTAAGGAATCATGATTACTGCAATGGAATCAGATTATTAAGAAAAGTGACTAGAATGTTCTACATGTCTGCAGCTAAGGCTGCAACTAATAAAGAAATAGCACAATTCATGTGAAATGCATGTTTTATTTTTAGTATCATTGAGATTTTTATTTTAGTTAACATTTTTGTAATTTTGTTGTTTTATAATTTTTTTTTTTTAATTTATGTTTTTTAAATATGGCTATACAGTTTTATTAGTATATATTTCATTTCAATTTTAGATTAGATTTTAATTTTAATTATAGGTTGTTGTCAATTATTATTGGTACTCAGTTATTAATAAGTTTTATTAATACGTTTTATTATTATCAATACTAAAAATAAATGCTGCTTAATATTTTTGCAGAAACTTTGCTAAATTTTTTCAGCATTTAATTAACAAAACATAAATGTCTTTACTGTCACCTTAATTAATTTAATGCATCCTTCCTGAATAAAATATTAATTTCTCTTCTTGTAAAAAAAATTAATAAAAAAAATTATATGCGATTAATCAGGCCGACAGCACTCACCTCCAGAAGAAGGCCTAATTTGCAGCTAATTACAAAACTGATTTTCACTGCAAGATCAATACCAAAATGAATTGGAAATGACTCGCAATCACAAAGGCCGTCAAAGAGGGTATTAAAAAGGAGGGGAAAAAGACGTAGGAAACACGGAAAGCCTTTGAAGGAAAAAATGGGCGAACGGAACGCTCTAGAAAAATCAGTTTTAATTTAAAGCAATATTAATCAGACTATTTTCTCCTTTCATAGACCACTTTTCTTTTTTTGTGTCCTTCGCTATCCCTAAACCAGACCACCTTTCTATTTTTGTCTCTCTCTCTCTATATCGGGCTATTATTTAATGGCTCTGTTCCCAACCTAGTGAGCTGCCTTGCTGTCTACTGCCTGCTTAGGTAGCTGCCTTCTAAGGAATCATGATTACTGCAATGGAATCAGATTATTAAGAAAAGTGACTAGAATGTTCTACATGTCTGCAGCTAAGGCTGCAACTAATAAAGAAATAGCACAATTCATGTGAAATGCATGTTTTATTTTTAGTATCATTGAGATTTTTATTTTAGTTAACATTTTTGTAATTTTGTTGTTTTATAATTTTTTTTTTTTAATTTATGTTTTTTAAATATGGCTATACAGTTTTATTAGTATATATTTCATTTCAATTTTAGATTAGATTTTAATTTTAATTATTTTAGTTTAATTAAATGAAAATGAGAAATGTTGCTTTAGTATCATTTAAAAAATATATAAAGTTTTATTTTATTTGTTAACATTTACTTCACATAACAAACATTGTTTTTATATCGTGTTACATTTTTAAATACATAACTTCACAAAAGTAAAATTAGTTTTTTTGAATCATGTTTATAGTTTCTTTCATTTATATTGCACGACACAAGTAGCGCTCCTCATGTGAAGTACTCAATTTTAACAATTACAATTTATAACAAAATTTGTTTTAACTTTTTTAATATATATTTTTGGTACTGAATAAATGGTTTATGTATGTGAGCTCAGTGAGATAAAAATATAAAAAGATATGAGCTCATCATTATTTATTTATTTTTGATTATTTATTTTTATTATCATTATTATTTATTGTATTATTTATATATTTTATATTATATAATTGTATATTTTATAGATTTTCACTGAGCTTGTCGCAATGCATTGGTATTGCCTGTCTTTAAATTTGGCCAAAAGAAAACATCTTACCTTTTGGAGCAGCTTTTGATTTCCAGAGTGTGCCCATGATGCCTAAAACACTTCCTACATAGGCAGCTGACTAGGTTTTGGAGCAAAGCCAGTGGTTTGGTTGTGTTTAGAGGCATTAAAAAGCCATTCTGGAGATGCTGAATGAGATAGGCTCTCCTCCCACACTTCTGCCAGCCATGTGCTCTTCCTTTTCACTCTCCCCTCCATCTGCATGAGAAAAGCCTGTTCTGCTCCACGGCCTCCACCGAAAAGAGCGGAACATCAGGCAGGGCCACTGCAAACAGTTGTAGCCCACAATTAGAGTTTATCTGTGATAGAGACAGACATGGCTGGGGTCAGGGGCCTCCCCGTGACACACACACACACACACTTACTCTGGACAGACATTCTCAACATGCAGACACCAGAAGTCTCATCTCATTAAATAACAAAAGAGTTAAAAAAAGAAAAAATCCCCCCCATCTGCTGACACGGTCTGAGGAGCATGTCTGTAATGGAAGGGGCTTGTGAAAATCATAAATCTTATCAATGTCATTTCCGAAGCGGGGCCTTGCAACTATAAGTGATTCAGCAAAGGCTAAAACAGCCCTTCAGAAATTATCTTATCTATAAAATGAGCTGAACTAATCAAAGCCTTCATTTAAATTCATAACAACAACAACAACATGTCATAATTTTTACTTTCTAGAAAAACTAGAAGGGGTTTTGCCAATAGGAAACACAACCGCCTCAAATGATGGCTTGTTGTAGTGAAGTGATTTTGTTTTATAAGACAAAGAGGATGCTAACAAATATTTCAGGGTGTTGTAAGGATTATCATTAACAAAAACTATTAAAACCATAACTTTAGCTGGAATATATCAAATATAAATATTAGATAAAAAAAAAAAAACTAAAAAATTAAAAACTGATGATTGAAATAAGTTTGAGAAAAAGCAGTAAAATTACTAACTGAAAATAATAATAAAAAAATACAAATACAAAATAATAATACAAAATCTAATAAAATGATAAAAGCACAACAAAAAAAAAGAAAAACTAAAAGTTAAGTGAAACTAATACTTAAAATAAATAAATAAATATTAAACTTAAGTAAAATGTATAAATAAAATTAATAAATAAAAAATTCCTAAAAATTAAGTGAAAACGAAAACTGAACATATAATAATATGTATAAATATATATATACATATAAATATATATAAATATATATTACATTTAAATGAAAGTTAAAAATATAAAAATAAATGCTAATTCTAAATATTAATAGTATATAAATAATACTGAAGTAACAGGTACTGAGACCAAGTACCAAGTACTGAGATCAACCTTAAGGCTTTGATATTCTTGTCTGTAGATATGGTTCAAGTATCTCTCTCAATGTAAATCTGTGGGATTTTAATATATATGTGACCCTGGACCAGAAAACCAGTCATAAGGGTCAATTTTTTTAAATTACATTATCATTATTATTATTATTATATATATTATACATCATGAAATAAGCTTTCCATTGATGTATGGTTTGTTAGGATAGGACAATATTTGGCCGAGAAATAGAAATCAGAGAAATCTGGAATCTGAGGGTGCAAAAAAATCTAAATATTGAGAAAATCGCCTTTAAAATTGTCCAAATGAAGTTCTACAATGTTTTTTTTTGGCTATTGCTAAAAAATATACCTAAGTGACTTAAGACTGGTTTTGTGGTCCAGGGTCACATATATTTGTATATGGTCAGGAAATGAACAATTGGCTTAAAGTATGAGAAAATAGTAATAGTAATAACATATGTAGATAAATAAAAAAACTAAAATTAAAAATGCAAGAAAGAAGAACATTGTGAGGGGGGAAAAGGCATGAAGCATAAAATAAGTGAGTGTTGGTTTGATTTGAAAGAGGAAAGGACAATAAATGACAGAGGAACTGAAGTCTGTCTGGTACATAGAGTGTTGAGCAATGCTGATGTGATCTTGATGTTGCTCTGGTCTGCAGGCGACTGAATACAGCCTCCCTGCATTAAACGCAGGCCTGGATGAAGTCAAACCCAGTTTATCCTCCGGCACGACCTCTGACCTGGGCGTCAGCCTGTCACAGAGCTACCCTGTAGGTAAGATCACATGATCAGTCCCATTCATGACCATTCACCCCCTCACATTCAGCTCTAATAGCTAATTAGTTATGAAGAATACAAATGCTCAAACTGTGGCCTTGTGCAGTTATAATAATCAAGCATTGTGTCAGTTCTGGCAGGTCACATTAGTCAAGCTCGCATCAGCTGGCTCTCAGCTGATCCATGTCTACCCATAGGGATGAGACACCTATCACAGCACTATATATAAGGGCCTTCGGTATTATCACCAGCATTCGCGTTGCTCAATGGAGGCTAATTACCCTCCTCCATCCCCAGCTCCTCCTCTCGTCAGTCAGGATTCGATCTTCTGAATTAGATTAATTTCTAAAATGTTACATTAAATTAATGAACTTTTATGATATCTGCAATACATTTATGTTGGTTTTGTTCTGTTTACCCTGGGGGGTTATCGCTGCTCTCCCTTCTCTCATACATGCTAGGCTGCATGGATGTGCAGGGAGTTCTTGCCCAGAACAGAACCATACTGCCAATCCAAACTGTAGGCTAATTGTCAGTCATCTTTGACGATAGTGGTCCTGTCAGAAATGCATTGAATATACTTTTTAACTCTTGAAATTAAAACTGGACATAAAGTCAGTCATGTTCCCTTTCAGTAGGTCACTATGAGTCACGTCGTGACCGACGAATTGGGATCTCACTTAGAGAGACCAATCCACTTCGAGTGTAAACTAAACGAGCCAATGCACATTGGCATGCGATAATTGCATCCAACTGCCGCTGATCACAGCGTGAGCATAAAAAGGCAACCGGTGCAACGCATACCAGCTTTTCGCTTCGGAGCCGAGCGACAACATCTTTCTGCTCCTACCAAACTGCTTCATGTGTGAAGAGTCTAGCGCACTCTAGGGAGCTTCTTGTGTTGGCGGACTGCGCTTCAGCGGTGGTCGTTCCTGTGTCGAGTGGGTTGCGCACTTCAAGCTGCACTACCCCCGTCATGCTGCAAGCGGCCATTTCCCCTGTGCGTCTCAGCACCTAAAAGAGCATTTCCCTGAAAGAGCCTATTTCTCTCAAAGAGCTTACATGGGTGCGTCTTTGTACTGCGGACCAGGCTCCGTTTCCTCCAGGGGGGTCGGAACGCCATTGCCTCTGCCGCGATCTAGTGTTCGTCCTGGCGACAGCCAGGCAAGGACTACTTCGGGCAGTAGCACGGGCGGTCTGAGAGTTACAGTGGTGGCAAACCCCTCAGGGAACCAACCCTCGGGGGTCATCGCTCCTCTAGCGCTTCGCAACCAGTTGAGCCGCCAAAGGAACGTGCTGGGCCCTCTTCAAAGAGTGTACCAGCGGTATCCTTTGGTGCTCCTCCCGATGACCGGATGTCGATCACTGCATCGGAGGGAGAGCTCTCTGGAGAGGAAGATTCGGCTGCGTTGCTGCCCTCCAGGACAGTGGCAAGGCCTGAATCGGATCCGGAGATGTAGGTTATGCTTTCACGAGCCGCCGAGAGGGTAGGGCTCGAGTGGAAACCTCCACCGCGTCCCGAGCCCTCGAGGTTGGACGATTGGTTTCCTGCACACATTTTCGGTCGACGATTCCGGGCCGGCTGACTCCTAGGTAATTATGAGGCCCCGGCCCGGCTATGTGCCTAAGGTTCCTACTAGCCCCTTCAGGGATCAGGTAGTAAACCTGCAAGCGCTGCCCCCGGAGGAGGCAGACCCAGCCATAGCTTTGCTTTGTCCCGTCCGAGCCTTGAGATGTTACGTAGACCGGACACAAAGCTTTAGGACCTCAGACCAGCTCTTTGTCTGTTACGGAGGCCAGCAGAAGGGGAAAGCCGTCTCTAAGTAGAGGATGGCCCACTGGAGTGTGGATGCCATCACCCTGGCTTATCAGGCACAGGGTGTGCCCTGCCCGCTCAGGTTGCGAGCTCACTCTACTAGAAGTGTTGCATCCACCTGGGCGCTGGCTCATGGCGCCTCGCTGACAGATATTTGTAGAGCTGCCGGCTGGGCGACCCCCAACACGTTCGTTAGATTCTATAGCCTTGGTGTGGAGAGAACATGTGTTCTCTGCTCAAACGGGTAGAGGCACTGAGAGACCCCGGTTAGTGTCCATTTGCTAAAATTGCTCCAGAGTGTCCGTACTGTAGGCCCTGTTGAGCTCCTCCCCAGACGTGGCAGAGTGTCTGGCGCCAGGCTCTCACTCGATGAATCATTGAGAACCGGTAGAGGGCTGGGTTCCATATGTAGAGACCTAAATGGATCCCATATGTGTAAAGTATACGGTATAGCCTCAGAGCCCGTGTTTCCCTGGCAGACTTCTATCATTTCCAAGAGGGTTACAATCACCTCTAATCTTCCATATGCACCTAAATGGATGTCATATGTGTAACTGCTTCCGAAACGTCCTTCGGGAAGGATGGGGCTTCCGCAACATTCCTGTTCCAAGTGGAACGGGTACGTTTTCCCAGTGTTATCCAATCTTACACCAAAAAGGGGCGCAGGCGGCTCACACAGGACACTGGAAGGGGCAGCACCCATGGCACTTTGGTAGGGATCCCAATTCGTCGGTAACGACGTGACTCATAGTTACCGACTGAAAGGGAACGTCTCGGTTACGAATGTAACCCTCGTTCCCTGAAGGAGGAAACGGAGACGTCACGTCCCGTCGCCACGGCTGCTGTACCACCGCTGAGCGGCCGGGTCACCGGCTCGGCTCCTCAGTGAAAACCTGGTATGCGTTGCACTGGCTGCCTTTTTATGCTCACGCTGTGATCAGCGGCAGCTGGATGCAATTACCACATGCCAACATGCATTGGCTCGTTTAGTTTACACTCGAAGTGGATTGGTCTCTCTAAGCGAGATCCCAATTCGTCGGTCACGACGTGACGTCTCCATTCCCTTCAGGGAACGAAGGTTACATACGTAACCGAGACGTTTTATCTACATACATGAATTAGATCTGCAGTTTTAAAACTCTCATGTGTAGTGATATTGGTCTTATAACGAACGTAATGAAACCAGCTTCAGACTAACGAGCTGTTGCACAGAGGACGTTGGTTCCTTAACTGCTCTATCACAGCACTGAGCTTCAAAATGATATCAAATATTAACATTTACATAAACAAATTCATCATTTGCTCATGGCAGACAGGGAACGTGGGGTATTTGTTTCTCTGTCTCTCTCTCGCTCGATCGCTCTTGTTAATAATAAATGATGGGATGGTTAATTAAAACGTAGTGTGCTTGTTTTGCCATTTATTAAAGTGAAATGTGTGAAGTTTACTGACAGTTTTACGATCGTCTTCAGGTCAAAGATAAATATACACTGCTTTTATTAAAATTCACATAATTACGCTAAAGCCATTACAGCCATCGCTGTGTGTGTTTGGCTGATGACAGAGAGAGAGAGAGAGAGAGAGAGAGAGAGAATGTGGGTTTGTAGTTGGCAGACTGATTATCTGTTCATGGTAGTTTCACGTCACAATCAGATTTGTGTGTTGTTTATATTAATCAGGTATGAATGTAATAATCAGGTTAATGTGCCATCATTTACTCACCTTCATGAGCCCCAAACTCAGTCCACTTTCTTTCTTTTGTGGAACACAAAAGGAGATGTTATGAAGAATATATATGAAAATGAATGCTGTCAAGTAAAAAAAAATAAAGACAAAACCACCTTTAAAATAGTCCATATGACATACAATGCATAAGTTTTGTATTTGGGATTTAGAACGACCTCAGGATGAGTAAAAATTTTTTTTTCGTAGTACTAAATGTGAATGTATTCCAGTTTAAACATGCATGATAAACTTACCAAATAGAAATCCAGAATTAAAACAAAAATATTTAAATGATTTCCATTGCTTAGGCTGAGATCCAGTGTTTAGATGAATGGTTTCCTTAACAGAAAAGAAACACAGATTACACTCACCCTCCATGTTTTCCAACCCCAATTAAAATGCCCACAGTTATTGATCTTGTTGATTTTATGCAAGGGAATTTGCATAATCTATTAAAAATGAATGATTCATGAAGCAGCCGGTGCCAGAGGAGATGAGGGTTTTTGGTGAACTGTGAATACCTCACAGATACACATCTTTTATGTTCGCAGCTTGTCCTATTAAAAATACACTTCCTGCAAAAAAATAAAAAAAATAAAAATGTATATATATATATATATATATATATCAAATAAAATAACCTGCTACAAAATCTATGCTTTGATACAAAATATAATTGTTTATCTTTATATAAAACCCTTACTGCCTGTGAAAAATGTAGATAAATTATACAAATATGTAATATTATATAAAAAAATTATTATATATTTATAGGATTTGTAATTATTACATGTATAGTAAAAATTATATTATAAAATTTAGTAAAATATTTAGTAAAAATATATAATTATTGTCCACTTAAACAGCTTTAACACTGGTCTACTGCTTCTGCTGAACTTTGTCCAGTTATAATGAAAATGCTACTGGGAAATGCAATGAATTTGTTACCTTAAAAGAAGCAGTAGTTTCTCTCTCTTTCTCTCGCTCTTCCTGACAAACTGGCTATCCGTGTCCGCACCTGAGGGCACCACGCTCCTAGTCACACAAATTAATGCTTATTCCATCTTCACAAAAAGCAAACTAACCTTTGAGCACACATTTGATAACAAACGACTTTCACCGTGCATCCAGGGAATTAGGGCAATCTGGCTCTCCAAACATCCTTTGCTTAGTTGTAATTAATTAGGGTGCCGTGTTTTTTGGCTGGTGATAAATTGCTGCATCCTGAATGTAGAAAATAGAGGTCAAACGTTTCCCATAGCCTTGTTGTTGGAACATTAAGGTGTCCCTGTCATGGCAAATTTAATACAGCGATGTTGAAGCAAGTGTTCGCACTCAAACCTTTCGACTTTTTCAGATAATACTAAGGTCACCCTGATTTTTAGCAAAGAGGTTTAGAAAATTCAATAGGCGTTATGTGTTTGTTGCCTGTAGACAGATTACTGAATCTAGCCATGCCATTTCTCAGTATTTCGTAAATCAGAAACATACTCAAGTATTCAATCAAGTGCACTCGAAAGAGAAAATGAACTGTAGGAGAAGATATTTCACATTAATTTGTGGTTAATTAATTTGAATGTTACATTAAAAATGGACACTAACAAGCTGTCCATTTCAAATTTCTGAATTTGCTGAAAATTTAACACTACAACAGCAATGGATGCTCTGCAGTAAATGGGTGCCATCAGAATGAGAGTCCAAACAGCTGATAAAAACATCACAATAATCCACAAGTAATCCACATCACTCCAGTCCATCAGTTAACATCTTGAGAAGACAAAAGCTGAAACAGATCCATTATTAAGATGTTTTTAACTTCAAGCAGTTGCTTCTAAAATCCACAATCCATAGTATTGATTTCTCCAGTGAAAAGTTGTCTAGTCTGAATCAGGAGAGAAATCTGCACAGATCAAATGCCGTTTACAAGCCAAAATAGCTCTAAAGAAATATGTGGGTGGATTTTGATGTGAGAGACAACAGCAGATGGACTTTTTCTCTGAAGGAAGCGTTATTATGGATTATTGACTCATATTTTAGCTGAAGCAATGGTTTGAAGTAAAAAACATCTTAATGATGGATTTGTTTCTTACAAACACACAGCTTTTGCCTTCTCGAGATGTTAACCGATGGACTGGAGTGGTGTGGATTATTGTGATGTTTTTATCAGCTGTTTGGACTCTCATTCTGACGGCACCCATTCACTGCAGAGCATCCATTGGTGAGCAAGAGACGTAATGCTACATTTCTCCAAATTTAATGAAGAAACAAACTCATTTACATCTTGGATGGCTTGATGGCTTTTCTTTGGTGAACTATTCCCTTAATGGTTTGTAATATTTGGTTTAAATAAACAAATTAAAAAGTATGATGCTTTTGTCAGATTTTTGTCTTGTTCAAGTGCATTTTTAGCTGCTTTTTTTTTTTCTACTCATTGGCAAACCGTCCTGGTCCACTCAGGATTACACTCGCTGAGCTTTGATGGACACTGTCCTGCTCATTAGAATTGAACCGGTGGCCAAGTTTCCCCCAGCGTCCCCAGTAAACCCTCCACATCTCCCCCAGCCCCCCTTTCCCGAACAAAAACATTAGTCTGTGAGGGGTGTCAGGCCTCAGCGCTCGGCTGGGTCGAGGCTTCACGGCGTTGGGTAGGACAGCCAAGCGTCAGCCCCAATTATTGCTCTGAATGTGGAGCTTCTTAGTGCTAAGAAAGAAGAGACATTGACTGTTTAGCGGAGGCCGGTATGGGCCGGTCGGTTTGACCCTGCTTACATCTATTCTCTGTTCTGACCTCAAAAGGACAAGAATAAATCCTTTGATACACAGTGGTTCTGCAAATGTAGCTGCTGTGTTTCTGTCTCAAAAACAGATTCTGTACTATTTCAATAATTGAAATCATTATTTCAACAACAGCACTCTTAAAAATAAAGGAACCAGAATGAGTTTGTTTTGCATTGATGCCATAGAAGAACCATTTTAGGTTCCACCTTTCAGTGAACAGTTCTTAAAAGAACAATTATGTGTTTCTTACATTTTAACAATCTAAAGACCCTTTTTCCATCATAAAGGACCATTTGTTCAATGGAACGGTTCCATGGATGTTCTCTCTATTTGTAAGAGTGAAGTTCAAAATTAATTTGCAATCTATTGAGAATCAGCTGAATGAATTATTGTTTATGGATGGAACAGAGAGTGAGTGTTGGTGTGATTTATGTGTGCAGGTCGGGATATGGCCAACACAACCTTACCTGGATATCCACCTCACATCCCTCCCACCGGACAGGGCAGCTACCCAACATCCACACTGGCTGGAATGGTTCCTGGTGAGTATCTCGAGACAGAAAACGGTGTTTGCAATTTCAATGAAATTTAAAATTACCATTTTTTAAAGTAATACAGCTACGCAAGACATTATTTTCCACCAAAATAAAATTATTTTATTTTAAAGGCACAGTATAAAAACAATGCACTGGAGTTTATATTTATCATCAAAAAAAAGTTAGTCATTAAGATTTTTTTTTTTATAAATACCTAAAAAAAAAAACGTCATTTTTCCAAACATTTTCCTATCTGCCATTTATCTTACAAAAATAGAGAACCCACCCCAAACTGATACTATTTTATTTATTATTTTAGTAATTAATACGTTTATTCAGCAAGGACACATTAAATTGATCAAATGTGACAGTAAAGACATTTATAAATGTTACAAAAGATTTCTATTTTGCTCTTTTGAACTTTCTATTCATCAAAGAATCCTGCAAAAAAATGAATCACAGTATCCTCACAAAAATGTAAGCACATTTCTTGATGTTTCCTGAGCAGCAAATCAGCATGTTAGAATAATTTCTGAAGGATCATGTGGCACTGAAGACTGGAGTAATGATGCTGAAAAATCAGCTTTGATAAATTACATTTTAACATATATTCAAATAGAAAACACTTTTTTATAATTGTAATAATATTTCACAATATTACTATTTTTACTGTATTTTTGATTAAATAAATGCAGCCTTGGTGGGCAGAAAAGGTGCCTTTCAAAAATGTAAAAAAATGTGTAGCTGTCTAAACACATTAAACTGGAATACAATACAAAGTATTTTAACATTAAGAAATGACACATTCACCGCCCCCCCCCAAAAAAAATCAAATACAATTTTTTTTCATAATTTACTCGCCTTCCACTTGTTTTAAATCTGTATGAGTTTCTTTCTTCTGCCGAACACAAAGGAAGATATTCTGAAGAATGTTGGTAATCAAACAGTTGCTGGTAGCCATTGACTACAATAGTATTTTTCCGTACTATGGAAGTCAATGGCTAACTTCTCTAAACTGATGAAAGCTTAAATAATAAAATATTAGACTGGCTTACATTTATGAAGTGACCAGACACTGATACCAATCTGACTCAATAAAAGAAGTCTCGTAGTGTTTACAGCAGCCTGCAGACATTCACAGAAGCAGCATTTCACCGGTGTGTGTGAATGCAGGAAGCATTTAACTATAGACCATCAAACCGCAATTGACTAAAAATTAACTGGTCCAACAGATTTCCAGACGAAAGGCATTTTGTGATCACTGAGCTCAAACTAATTCGTAAAATGTAGTTCGATCTTGCATTATTTTTAGCCGCTCCAGGTAATAAGAGCAGCAAAGAAACTTTGGAGAAGGAAGCAGCACAGTAGTGCAGTCAGTCAGCAGGACACAGTGGGTTTTAGAAATCAGACATTACAAATCTCTGTTTTGACATTTTTCTAAAATGTTTGAAATGTGAATCACATTTTCAGCAACTGTGATGTCAAATGGATGGTGCATTATTTTAACATGCATGTCTGTGTCCCATTTCAGGGAGCGAATTTTCAGGGAATCCCTACAGCCATCCACAGTACACAACCTACAATGAAGCCTGGAGATTCAGCAACCCAGCAATACTGAGTGAGCGTCTGCCTCTTACAGAAATGTACCATAGTTTCTGTCAAAATATTATATTTGTTACAAACAATAAGTAAATAAAATGAAAAAGCAATAAATATTTAAAAAATAAATTTAATTTTAAAATATTACTTTAATATATATAATTTAAAAATTAAATAAATGAATACATACAATTCAAAATGCAAACAAACAAATAAATAAATAATAGAAAGCTGTAAATTGTAGTCACTGTAACTGGTTAACTGTCTGTTGAGAGCCAGAAATTAATGAACAGTCCCTTAAGATTTCAAAGAAATTAATGCTAGATAATAATTCGTTAGCAGTCCCATTTACAGATTTTTCTGATTTTAGTGGTCCAAAACAATAGAATCTGCTACAGCTTTTCTCATTTGTGACTTTTTCTAGTGTTCTGCATTGAATCTTTACCAATAATCATTATGTAATTAATGTAAATGCAGTAACAGTGAACATTTTAGTGCACATGCTAAATGTTGTAAGCATCCAAATATTAACTGAAATGACATGACATATATTTGTGTTTTCTGTAAACAACATGATAAAACTATTGAAATTGTGTTCAAATATTATCCCAGTCATTTGCATAATCAGTTCAACTTAAATGGTTTGTAATGCATCTTGGGTGAAGTTTATTACATGTACAAATTTCCAAAATTGGTATCATTGTCATCGGTGGAATTTGCATTAATTATTGTGAAAGCAAAATAACAATATCATATAATAATATGATACTTAAAACAAATATGCATTTAATATATTAATATGCAGCCATTGTCGTGGTATATTGAAATGGTACATTCCTTTCTTATTAACTTTCAGGTTCCCACTATTATTATAGTGCATCCCGAGGCTCCGCGCCCCCAACTGCTGCCACTGCCTATGACCGCCACTAGTTACCACGGAAACCAAATTAGGCGGCACACCCATGGACTCGGACTTCATATTCTGCCAGTGTGAGCAGTGCAGCTGATTGGACATCATGCGGTCACATGATGAAGAACAGGCCAATCAGGAACAAAAACATCCCAACGAGTCCCAACGGGCTCGACGATATGGAAGCCCGTTTATATTACTATAAACTCGCAATTCTGACTTTTTTCTCTGAATTGCGAATTCATATCTTGCAATTCTGACTTTATAACACAATTGTGAGTTATAAAGGCAAAATTGAGAGTTATAAAGTCAGAATTGCGAGATATAAACTCCCAATTGCGAGTTATAAAGTCAAAATCGCAAGTTATAAAGTCGGAATTGCGAGATATAAAATCGCAATTCTGAGTTTTTTTCTCGCAATTGCAAATTTATATCACACAAGTCAGAATTGTGAGATAAAAAGTCGCAATTACCTTGTTTTATTTTTTTATTTAGTGGCGGAAACGGGCTTCCATAGGACGAGGAAAAACCGATAAACGAACAATAAATGTATATCTCAAAGACTGAGGGTAAATATGATTTTAAAAACGGAATTAACATCTGCTTTTTTTAAATACTTTTATATTTTGTCCTCTCATTAATATTATTCATTGGTATTCATACTTAAAGTGCTTCTAGCATGTATATATGTATTGGTTTGTTTGGATAGACACTGAAATGAATCACATCAACGGTTGGACTTATTTTTTTTTATGAAAATTGTTAATATGTAAAAGCATTTTCATTTCAGATTGTACTTTTCAATGTCTATCCAAATGTACAAAAATGTCTAGACTTTATTTATGAATACCTATATTATATAAACGAACACATCTGGACAAGGAAAACCGTTCCAACGCATGGTTGTAGATTCTCTGGACTGCGCGATAAACGAGCAGCAAAACTCAAAACTTGACTCTCCACTCATCGCACAGTAAACTATTACTCAATACAGCATGTACTCAAACTCGGCATGGAAATACAAAGCAAACAGGCCTTCTCCATGCTCTCAACGCCAGCAGAAGATCTCTAGCACACTTCTGTGAGAAACAATCAGATACCAACAAGAAAGAGATGAAACCGGGCAAGAAACAGAGAAACTGTCAACCCTGGTCCTACCGAGCCCAGATTTGATGATAAGTGAAAGATACATTTTTGTATGTTATTTATTTGTTTTTTATAATGACAAAAGTATCATGAAGAACTCTACAGTATGCATGGATTATTTTCATTCATTATGCATTTTTATGTGTTTATCATAGATCAAATTATGTCAGATTCTTAGGGGGGAATTCACTAATAATGTATGATAGATTTAGCACTTGATTTGTGCAAAACACTGCAAACACTATTTCAGCCAGATGCATAATCATAAGCCATTATGTCAAGACTGTTACTACGGATTCAGATTTTTCAAATTCAAAAATTCCAATTCAAATCTTTTTATGTAATTGACTTTAATAAAAGTTCTGACCAGGGAAAACAATAGATGGCTAACGTTTAAGACTAGTCTAAGCGGTTTATGCAACTGACCACTGGTCAGGTTTTTGTGCTGAAATACAGATTCAGATGCGGTTTAGCGAATTCACCCCTCAGTGTTATTGTTTGCACTATGGGTTGTGCTCTTTATGAGATGTCTTGAGTGAATAAACAGTGAACTTACTCTTCGGTCGGATTGGATGCTGAGTGTTTTGCTCTGAATTTTTTAAGCATTTGAGAAAACAAACATGTACTACTGATCAGATGAAGCACTTAAACCTCCAAATGTGTTTACAGAATAGTTTGCAGCTGTTCAATTAATCAACAGATGGGTTGGTCACTGGTTATCGGCTTTATGATTTACTTTTCAGAACTCTGCTTTGGGAACGTCAAGCTGTTTCAGTAACGCAAAAAAATACCTTTTGTTTGATGCTTTACAACAAGTGCAATTCTGCAGATAATTTTTCATAATCACGTACTGTACGCTCCAGTTTGAGTTCATGTTCTGACGAAACAACTTTAGTTTTCATCGAATACGTTACAGTTGAGAAAATGTACTTGTATCACATTTGCCAAAGACTTTTTGTTGATGTATATTTTTATTTACAGTCTGCTGTTGCATTGTACAAACAGTATTATAGTGAAAACATTTTCAATGTATGTACAAATCCTATGCAGAGCAAAGAAAATCTGTTGTATGCATAAACTATAAAACTACTGACATGTTCATTATTTATGTTATTTTGTGAAATAATAATTTTTTTTAATAATTTGGTGTGAAATGTCATTTCTGTACTGTAAATACATTCTGATCAAATCTGCTCTGTCTCTCTGGTTTCATCTGTAGAGAACTCAAATGACTTACAGACGCACACAGGTTGAATACAAACAGGAATACTCGAATATATACATAATACATCTAACAGCTTCTAAATCAAAGCAACACATTGTCTTATTTATTTATTTTTATTTTGAACACTTTACTTTCTGGACTTACCAAACTTTACTGCCACTATAGTCTAGAGACTGCAGATATTCAGCACAATTACTGCCAAACAGAAATTACTTCTCACAAAGAAACACGTCAATCGGCTGGATGTAACTCTTCTTGTACTGTTATGTATAGAAGGAATTTCTTTAATGTATTTATTAAAATTATTATTAAAAGCAAAACTTACATAGAAATAAAAATGTGGATTGATTGTATCCTTACTATATTAATATAGAGTTGATTTTATGATGGAGCCCAATACTACAATTAACGTTTAAAAGATAATTTTTTTTCTTTCTTTCTTTTTCGGAGAAACCGTGTGGAATCTCGTTAGTACCACAAAACAGGTGAATTAAATATTTACTATGTCAAGATTCAAATACTTGAATCTCTATAGCAGTGTGATAAAAATAGCTTAGTAACATTTTATGCAAAATGGTTATATATAGGTAATATTGCAGAAATTTTACGAGATTTACCAGTAATTTCTTGCAACGTCTATCTATCTATCCATCCATCCATCCATCCATCCATCTAACCATCTATCTATCTATCCATCCATCCATCCGTCTATCTATCTATCTATCTATCTATCTATCTATCTATCTATCTATCATCTAACCATCCATCCATCCATCCATCCATCTATCTATCTATCCAAAAATATACATTTAATTCTAACAGTAGGTTTCTAACAAAAGTTACTGTGCAAATGCAACATCTATTAGCTAAGAAAACACTATAAATTTACATTAATTTTTACAGCATAAACAATGACAGTATGAATATCACTGTCCTCAATAACAGCTTGATGAGAAAGTGCAAATAAAGAACAGGCCATGTGTTAGTCTGTAAATAAAATGTAGCATTAATTCACTTTCAGATCTCTTTCAGAAGCATTTCTGGGCTCTCGTGAAAACGATCCCCTCGAGGCTTTAGAAGCTCCTCGTTGCTAAATGGACTGAATTCTATTTTGATTATTCACAAAAAAAGTAATTAGGGAATTTAAAGCTAAATAAATTAACTTATTTTAGGGCGCCAGAGATCACAATGTGGCTGGGAAGAGCACCAGAGAATGTTTTCTTTATGATTTGGATCACCGAGCATATAAAATGTATAACCTCTCCAGGCCCTGAAAAGCTGAAATAATATATTCGAGAAATGGGGATGAATTCAATTAGCAGAGACCTCACAAAAGAGGGAGGCATCTAAGCAGGAATTCTCACACGATGCAATGAATTTCTTTGGGAATGAGATTTTCCCGTCTCTTAATCCTGCAGGTTTATGGAGAATTGTTTGGCGCTTCATTATTGATTATGAATAAAGGAGAAAAGACTAAATTGACTGAGGTGAGTCATTCTGCTCGAATAAAATCACTAGCCCTAGGAGAGATTTTTTTATTTGTCTATGAACAAAATCTGAACGTTAAACTACTTTTTTTTTCTATGGTGAAGCTCCTCAAAGAAAAGATGAGGCCTTTTATTGTTTTTTCTAACATGGGAAATTATTATTTTAATGCAGGTTTGTCTTATATATATATATACATAATTTAAGAATACATTAACTATATACTTTCATTATAACATAATTGTTTGTCATGGTAACTATAGTTTCAGCCAAAATACCACATTACAATTATTGTTAGTATTGTTTTTTTTAAATGACAATAAATTATATAAATTATATATAAAATAAATTATATAATATCTCTAAATTATGTTATATTATACATAATTACACATAAATTTATATAAATTTCTCTAACAGAATTATTCACCATAGTGTGTATCTAAAAAATATAATTTAATTTATATAAATTAATTTTTTTTATTTAATTTTGTACATTATCGATATTTGATTGCAATATCAATAACTACTTTAACTGTGATATTTGGTGGGAAACTGTGTTTACCCTGGTAAATGTGTGCAGGGGTTTAGCTGAAGTTTTCTGTGTAGTTTCATCTTTTCAGCTGGTGTTTATCTCTCCGCTCCCTTGTGTAGCATCTCACGTCAGCCTCTAACTGTCGTATATGTTTGTCATTCAGGCCTTGTTAGGAGAAGAAAAAACCCACTGTTGACTCCTTCCCTCCCCGAGCGGAGAATTCCCTGTGGTAAAATTATTCCATTTAGATGGAAACTTTTTGTCACTCCTGTCTAAATTGGCATTTCTGGCTCTATCACTGAAACCAGTAAACTGTGAACCTGGATGCAGCTGTCAGTCAAACGGAGCGTTACTTCAGCGTGCCAGATGACGGGATTCGGGGAGGGGAGAGAGAACAGACCGACAGAGAGCTGCCAGCTGATTGGCTCTCATCAGGACGGCAATAAAAGCACCTGCCACTGTCAGAGCTTTTCAAATGCTGCACACACACACATATCATATAGACTGTTTGAAACATGCAGACCCATACATTTTTGACAACTAGTGTAGATTTTACAGATAAAGTGTGTCATCATTAACTTACAGTTTATAAACTCAGTTTAATGATCTGAGCACCTGCTGCATTAACACAAGCCTCCATTCACTACCGTTAATGAGCGGATCTGTTAGCGCTGTGGTCAGTTACTTACAAGCATGTGACCGCTAATGTTCAGCAGTGTGATCAGAGCGCTGGACGCTAGAGTTACAATGACAACACTGTCA